ATTCTGAAAGTCTCATCATTCCCCCACCCCAGCGTTCACAGGAGGAATCTATTCACCTTAAGACGGATGAACAGAGCCAAACAGGATCAAACATAGATGAGAGACAGCAGTCACTGAGTCCTGTGCCTAAGCCAGGCCAGATGAGCCTCCGGGGAAACTGCCTGTGCCCAGCCCCTCTAGAGGATCTTCTCCCGGACTGGACTGCTTGCTCATTCCTACAGGCTACCTGCTCCCCTGCCCCCGCGGTGACGCTGATTCCCAGGTTGCTGTGGTCCACCTTTCTCCTTGCAAGTTGCCGCCTCAGTCACTGCTGGGCCAGGGGAGAGGACATTTTTTCCTCCACCTGCCCCACAGCACAGGTCTTCCACGGGTGCCTTTGTCACCAGCACAAAACTCTAGGCCAGCCATTGCCTTCCCTGCCCTCTCCCCAATCCCAGGTTTCAGAGATGCCTGCATGGCTATGTGTACAGCCATTCGTGTGGAAGGCAACATTCCTGTGTGGTGGCAGCCCTAAAGGAGAGCTATTTCAGCAAGTGGACAAGATGGTGGCGATGGGGGGGGCATTAAAGAACAGAGAATTCCTGCCTCAAAATATAGCCAAAATGCACCCAAACATGATACGGTTCTGCCACCAGATCAAAAACAATAAAAACCTGCTTGGAAAGGAGATTTTCCAGGCTGACTCCCTGAAAGAATTAAGTGATGTTCTTCTGCCCTCTAGTGGTGAGAATCAGCATCGTCCTTCAGGCAGCTTCAAGAAGAGGCAGACATCCTTTCTTCGCAACAGTATGGGCAGGCTGCCACTAGTAAGACGCCCAGACAGCAAAGAAAAGTGTCCATCTGAGGTATGGATGGGAGGCATTAATGCCAACGAGTCTGACGTGTGGAGGAGGCTGTTTTACTTCTCAAAGGGCTTAGGGGAGCAAGCAGAGATCATGAGAACAATAGGGGTCTGCTTTGGAAAGCAGGGCCCTGTGGGTACCCAGGTATCACTCTACCTATGGTTACTCCGGACACCAAGAGGGGAGGCTCTTTCATGGAGTCTGGGGGAGAGAGGATCATGAATGGGAGAGATCTCCCAAGCAGCTCAGGAGACTTGGATTTTAAACAGATATGCCTCCCCTGGCGGGGTTCCTTCCCTTCTCAGTCTGAGACTCGGGTTCCTCATTAGTATAATGAAACAGAAAGCTGCCCAAGGTTCTTTCTAGCTCAGACCTTCTGGCCGTTCCTACGACCTTGGTTTGCTCAGTCACTGCGGATATGCCCAGCACAAAATACATTACCCTCCCTATTTTCAAGGTAGCTTGCCCACAGGGGCGTTCCTCTCCGAGGCTCTTGCTGCCCCTGGATTTTGCTGCCTTTGGGTCACCAGTGGAAGCCAGCCTTTCTGTCTGGATGAGACGGCAGCTGACACTTTATCTAGTATGTCCCTTACCAGTCCAACCTGACTCTCTAGGAGCGGGCTTCTAAGGCTCAGGCTGCTGGGAAACAGGAACGTCTAATCCCTTCCTGAAACAGGCCTAGCGCTTGACGAGAATAAATAAAGGCGGCTGTATCTGATTTTATTTTCTCCTTGAAAATTGGTAACATCATTAGCGACACGTAAATATATCAGTGGGATTAATCGAGTGAGCCACAGTGCAGTTTGATTGGATTTAGGACCACATTATTTCTTTGGGGTGAATTAGTAAATTTAGCACTGTCAAGAGATGATGGATTGGGAACCCAGGGACTGAGAGTTCTTATTGATCCCAAGAACAGATCAGCCCAAGAAGCAGCTACAACAGCCTCCCGCCCCCCTCCTGCAGAGAGAGAAAGGAGATGGGGCTGTATGACTGACAGAATGATCCGGAAGTCCTGTGCTCTCTTTCAGATACCAGCCGTGATATTTGAGAATACAGGCATCAGGCAGATCTGGGTGGGTGTGAATCAACTGACCCTTAGAGGACCTAGGGAATGGTACTATTAGGAAGTGTGGCCTTGTTGGAGTAGGTGTGGCTTTGTTGAAGGAGGTATGTCACAAGGGGGCGGGCTTTGAGGTTTCAGAAGCTCAAGCCAGGCCTAGAGTCACTCTCTCTTCCTGCTGCCTGATGATCCAGATGTCTCTCCAGCACCGTGTTTCCTGCATGCTGCCATGCTTCCCACCATGATGGTAATGGACCAAAGCTCCAAACTGCAAGCCAGCCCCATATAAATGTTTTCCTTAGTAAGAACTACCATGGTCATGATGTCTCTTCATAGCAATAGAGACCCTAATAGAGAAAGCCCCCTAAATTTCTACCTCCACCTGAATTCATATTCTTGTATAGGATTCCTGCTTCTGCGGGCCCATGTGATTGGCTGTTTCCTAGCAAAGAGAGCTGGAGACATACCATGAAGTCACCCTGCAGACTAGCTTACAAAATATGGTGGCTCCTTCTCTTGGGAACCCTCTCTCATCTTCTCTACATGAGGATTGGTGATGAAGTCCTGAAGAGAGGACCGAGAGTCAGCGTGGCCACCGCTGGTTTGGGCTCGGAGTTGGAGCCTCTCTCTTTTGGTCGTTAAGGGGACTGCAGCCTAGATTGGGACTTGGTCACATCCCCTTGAAGCTGCTCGAGTCCTAGACCCAGCATGAGTCACTCTCCATGTGGTGTCTTCTTACAGACATGCTTTGGTAATGACAGGGACAGGGCAGGGCCATCACTTCTTCACCACGGGCATTAAGGACCAGTGGATACAGCCCTGGAGACTCTGCACACTGGGATCACTTTAAAGGCTTATAGGCCCGAGTCCCAGAGAGACCATGGTGAGTGGATCCTTCTCAACCCCAATCTGTTCTGAACAGGTTATCTACAAAATTAATTTTTAGTACACCAAGTCATTTGAATTTGAGACTATTTGTCACCACAGCACAGTCACATGGCCACTCCCTATTGCTAACTTGATGGGATGTACCTGGGAGACAAGCCTCTGGGGATGCCTACGAGGTATTATCTAGACTGGGTTAATTGAGGTGGTAAGATCCACCCTTTGCAGGTAACAGCAACAGTCCCATGCTAGGGTTTCTGGTAGGAATTGAAAAGGATGAATTTGTGATGCGTTTCTGCCCTCTAGTGGTAAGAGGCAGTAACACAGCTCAAGAACTTTCAAGACAGAATGGCTACAGGCCATCATATTCACAGTTATTTGGCTGTACAAAAAACAATGAAACACAGGTAAATGGCCCACATCAGACACAGCTGTAAATAATCCTTGTGAGTGATGTAACCCAAGTCCAGTAAGACAACTGTGAATGTTTGTCTCTCCTATGTGGGTTTCCAGATAGGAAAGCTTGGATATGCGTGTTTAAACTAGAGAACCCACAGAAGTCTGAAAACCGGAAAGGGGCTTTGGCGAGATCTCAGGGGATGAAACACTATTTGATGTTCTTGACAAGGCTGCCATCCACATGAACTCAGTGGCCGTGACTGCATACACAACACACACACACACACACACACACACACACACGATCAAGGGAAACAAAATCTCAGCATGGACTAGGGGCTGCCCATGAAGTCCTGCTCTGAGCTGAGAAGGCACAGGCAGCCAAGGGTGGCCAGAGAGAAGGGGGAAGTTTTCATCAGGTATGATGACCCTGCGAGGCTACCGATGCTCCAGCAGGTGGTCCCACACTCACACACATACTGGCAGCATTAAGTGGACTCCGTGGGCTCAAGGGGAGACAGAGCGTGTACAGGAAGTGGGGAGGGGAAAGTGGTGGATGTGGGAGGAGTTAGAGGAGAACGAACAAGAGAATGAGAATGGGAGTGTGTGGATTTGATTCATGCAGACATTATATGCAGGAAATTCCCAATACAAAACCCTACTTCCAATATGGCAGAAGACCACAAAAAGCTGAACATGATGGTTCACTGCTCTCCACTTCCTGACGATGGCTGCACTGTGGTCAGCAGCCCCATGCTTCCGCTGCTATGTCTTCCCCACCACGGTGGGCTTCTCAGAGTTATAAACCAAAATAAAGCTTTCCCTTCCCAAGATGCTTTCTGTCAAGTGATCCACGTTGCTTTGCTGCTGCTGAGATCAATCATTTTATTTTATATTCTTTTCACTAGTCAGGCTAGGAACTCAAGGCAGAAACCTGGAAGTAGGAGCTGAAGCCGACACCACGGAAGAATGCTTCTTATTGGCTCACGCCCTGACTCACCTACCCAGGGATGGTACCCCCCGCCCAGTGGGCTGAGCCCTCCTATATCAGCTGACCATTAAGAAAATGCTCCTCAGACACATATCTATCCAATGAAGGCAATTTCTCAATGGAGGACCCTCTTCCCAGGGGTGTCAAGTTCACACCCAAGACTAACCATCCCATGTTTGGTCTCAGTGATCAGACATGTAACTAAAAACGATATCATTTAACCTCGACAGTCACTGAATTTAATCTCAGAATCACAGAAGGGAAGCCCAGAACATCTGAGAAGCATATGTCCTCTTCCTATTAAGAACGCAGCAAGATTCTCCTAAGCTGGTTTTATTTTTATTTTGCATACACCTGGGTAGTGCATTCATGTGTGTGCGTGAGCGTGCGTGTGTGTGTATACCTTTGGGAGATGGGGCCTTGTGGTGAAAATTAGGTTGTCGCGGCAAGCCTTTGAAGAGGATATGGGGACCCTGGCTTCCTTCTTTCTCTTCCCTTCCCAGCCGCCATGTGTTAAACAGCTCTGTTCTACCTTATGTTCCTCATCAAGTGGTATGTTACCAAGAAGCCCCCAAACAACACACCAACCAGAGATCGACTCTGAAACCATGAGCCAGCGCAGGCCCTTCTTTGTTTTCCCTTGATTGTCTCAGGCGTATATGTGAGAGTAATAGAAGTTGAGCAGCACAAAAATATTGCTTAGTGTGTGTGGAGTCTTAGAACCCTGTAGGCTAAAGACGCCTCCATGAGAGCGGGGATGGTTGCAGGGGAGAGTGGGGATGGTCGCAGGGGTGCTTAGCAAGTCCGATCTGCTCCTTACTTGTGTCAATGAAGACGGCATCCACATAGATTTTGGTACAGAAAGAGCCCAGAATAAATCCACAGGCTGGTCCAAATACCAACATCGTGAACAGGATTCCTGCAAGAAGAAATGAAAGGTTAGGTTAAAACGCAGAAGCCCTCCGAGGAGTGAGATCATCAAAGACCCAAGAGATTATCTTACACTAACCAGGTAAGCTAACTAACTGGTTATTACAAATGACAGTACAAGGACTTAGTCCAAACACCACAGAGGGGATAATTAGTGAATTTCCAACGTTGAGAACTCCATGAAAATACTGCGTATCATGCTAGAAGACCACAGGATTCTGTTTTGATTTTATTATTGTTTTACATCATGTGTGGATCTATGCATGTGTGTGCTGTGGCCCCAGAGGCTGGAAGAGGGCATTACATCCTCCGGAGCTGGAGTTAGCGGTGGTTGTGAGACACCTGAAGTGCATGCTGAGAACAGACCTGAATCTTCTCTCTGCAAGAGAAGCAAGCACCGTTAACCACGGAGCCATCCCTCCAGCCCCTCTCCAGGAATCCAATCGGTTGGTCTAGCAAGGTATTCATAGACCCCCCCATTTCTCTTACCTTTAGGGGACTTGGTGCCACATCAATGAGAAATACTAAAATAATCCAAATCTGTCATTAAGTAGTTTTTCTACCACGAAGAAATCTGCAGGGGAGGTGAGCTGAAGAGATGGCTCAGTTGGCAAAGCACCCCCAGCATAAATATACGAACCTAATTCGGATCTTCAGAACTAACATAAAAGCCAAGTGTGGCAGCTAGTCTGTAATCCCAATAATAGGAAGGTGGGGACATAAAGATCTATGGAGCTCATTAGTCACCCAGCCTAGCCTAATGGGTAAGTTCAGGGCGACACTGTGGCTCAAAAAAGGGAGGTGTAGAGCCACCAGGGAAGATGCCTGTCACCTGATGCCAGCCTCTAGTTTCCAAATGCACACACAAACATGTGCACAGGCGCCTACACGTACACATGCACACCCCCTCCCTATGTGCACATACATTCTACACACACACACACACACCACACACATACATACATATACACCACACACACACCACAAAAAGAATTTTGAAAGGATTTTTGCAACTGTTTTTACATTCACTTTAGCTATAGACACTTCTTCCTTCCCTCCCTCTCCCCCACCCTCCCTCCCTCCCTCCCTCCCTCCTTCCCTCTCTTCCCTTTTTCCTCTCTTCTTTTGCTAATCTAGGCACTCACACAAATTCAAGAACTCTTGGGAAGTGAGAAAAACCCAATCCACAAATTGTTTTCAAATGCAACCAAATACTTCTAATCTCTAAATATATTAAATATGAAAATCCACACAAGGGTGTGGATTGAGAAGAAGTGGCTAGACCCTGGATAATTCCAGTTTTGCCACTCCCCACTGTGGAATCACTGGCAACAGTAGTTCAGGACTCAAGCCTGTCTGGGAACCTGAGATGATGGCAGGCCTTGGCTGTGTGTGTAGTTACCTGGAGACTGTAACACACAAGTTCTACACACGACTTTTGCATGACTCTTGGAAAAGCACCGGGCCTGAACTGAAACTCACAGGCTATAACTGCTTAACTGACTTCCAGTCTTCAGAGGAGTTTTCTGAGCACCGATCCTACCCAGCCATGAGGATGAAGAGCAAAGTTGCAATCCCTCACGACAAAGACAGTCATCTGATGGGGACTGCCAGTGACTTATGCCAGTGACTTGATCTAGAACTGTGGGTACCAGCGGGTCTACCTGGGAATCAGTGTCATGATGGAAACCTAAGCTCATGGGTGGGCACATGTGTCTATTGACTGGCTCTGTCAGAGCTGGGCTCAGAGTATATGACTCACTTTGTGTGTGTGTGTGTGTGTGTGTGTGTGTGTGTGTGTGTGTGTGTGTGTG